GAGCCACAGCAACATGGAGCCAAAAAAGAAACCCAGTGGTCTACCCAGGGCAGGCCTAGGCCAACACGGAGAAGACAACTGGTGCCCTTTCCAGCCTGCCTCTGATCCCATGCCGCCTCCTTTGACCTCTCCATTCACCTGCACTGTCCCATGCCAGTAAGGAAGGCTATGGTGTCCTCGAGAACACTGCTTCTGTTTCTTGCTGAGGAAGTTAACTCACAGCAACTTCAGAAAGGGTCTGGTCACTTAATTTCCAATTACTAAGGCACCTCATTTTGAACTGGGGTTGGTAATATGAAGAGGTGTGGTGTCTGTCCTCTGAAAATTCACAGCCTAGTCAGTGCACCAACGTAAGTGTCTGAGTTAGGCTTTTAGTGCTGTGAAGAGACACCATGACCACCACAACTCTTATAAAGGAAAACATTTAATTAGGACTTGCTTATAGTTAAGAGGTTTAGTCCATTATCATCATGGTGGGAAACATGGTGGCATGTGGTCAGGCATGGTGCTGGAGAAGGAGCTGAGAGCTCTACATCTTGATCCACAGGCAGCAGGGATTGAGCTGACTTAAACTTCTGAGACCTCAAAGCCTCCCTGTAGCTGAAGTTTTCCTGGTCCCACCCGGCTCCTGTGGTCCCACAGTCCTGCAGCCACTCAGACCCAAATGAATTAGCTTAGGCTAACTACTGACTATCTCTTGCACTTAAACTCAGCCCATTTCTGTTAATTTATGTGTTGCCACATGCTCCGTGGCTTTACCTGTGTGCCATTACATGCTGCTCCCCTGGACGGCAGACTGGTGTCTCCTGATTCAGCCTTCCTCTTCCCAGAATTCTCCTTGTCTGCTTATCCTGTCTATGCTTCCTGCCTGGCTACTGGCCAATCAGCATTTTATTTGTCAACCAAATCAGAGCAACACATATTCACAGCATACAGAACAATGTCCCACAGCATCCACCCCCATAGTGACACACTTCCTCCAGCAAGGCCACACCTACTCCAACCAGGCCACACTTCTTAATAGTGTCACTCCCTGTGGGTCAAGCATTCAAACACATGAGTCTATGGGGGCCATACCTATTTAAACTACCACAATATGGATAGAGAAGAACACTGTGAGCTGCTACCCTGGCCTGAGGTCCCAGCTGTCTTGGGAGCCCAAGAGAGAACTATCTCTGACGTCAGCACGGGGTGGGGGTGGGGGGGAGGGGGTGGAGCTTGTCTGAGGAGTGACCAATGGGATACTACTAGAGAGTTCCTAGACATGGATAGGTGCATCAGAGTAGCTACAGAAGGGAGGGTAGGGAAGGGAGATAAATGCAACTTTGATGAGCTTGAGGGCAGTTGGGTACCTCATACATGCTATCTTATTTAATTTTTTGTAAAGTTATCACTGTGTTCTTACAAATGAGCAAAGTGAGGCTGAAATCTTTTTTTTTTTTTTTTTTTGGTTTTTTTTTTTTTTTTTTCGAGACAGGGTTTCTCTGTGTAGCTTTGCGCCTTTCCTGGAACTCGCTTTGGAGACCAGGCTGGCCTCGAACTCACAGAGATCCGCCTGGCTCTGCCTCCCGAGTGCTGGGATTAAAGGCGTGCACCACCACCGCCCGGCGAGGCTGAAATCTTAATGAATTTCCCAAGACTCCTGGAGTCAACTGACAAGGTCAAAACAACATGCACTGTAACAGTAAACAGTTCACCTTTTTCACCAAGTTGACATTTGCCCTGCTGCTTTCTTTCATGTCGGGCAAGCTGAAACTGCTGGCCCCTTGACATCACCCAAGGCTTTGATGCTCACGTGTATATGTCTACTGGATCCTTTTGTTTTTTCAGTATTTGTTGTTTTCATTTTATGTGAATGACTCTTTGCCTGCACGTATGTAAGTATACCATACATGCACCTGATGCCTGCAGAGGCCAGATAGGGCGTTGGATCCCCTGGAGCTGGAGTTAAAAATGTTTGTGAGCTGCCATGTGGGTGTTGGGAACCGAACTCAGGTCCTTTGTAAGAGCAGTGAGTGCTCTTAACTACTGAGCCATCTCTCAAGCCCTCACCTACTATATTCTTCATGTCCATGTACTCAGGCTGGCCTCACTTGCCTCTGCCTCCCAAGTGCTGAGATTAAAGGCATGCACAACCACTACCTGGCTTAAATATTTTCTTCTTATTATTTTCATTTGAGTATATGTTTCCCAGGTGTGTTTGTATGGGAGTTGTGCTTACTGACCAGAAGGGGGCATCATATCCTCTGGAGCTGGAGTTGCAGGTGGTTGTGAGCTGTCTGATGTGGGTTCTGGGAACAGAACTTGGGTCCTCTGGAAGAGCAGTACATGATTTTTAACTGCTGAGCAATCTCTTTAGCCCCTTACCACTATTTTAAGTTGATTACCAATTTTGCTTTGCGACAACCCTGGACTGTTCTGAAGTCCTGATCTTTCTGCCAGAGCCTCCTGGGTGCTAGGATGACAGTCATGCTCAGCTGAATTGATTACTAAACAATATTTTAACCACTTCAGTTTCAGTTTCTAAATAAAAGCTCTTTGGGAATCCTCAGTAATTGAGAAGAATGACATTCTGGGACCCAGAAGCTTCAGATTGAACAAGAACTGTCTGGTGACGCTTTGTGCATCCGCAGAGCCCACCAACTTCCCAACCTCAGTGATTTACAGCCGAGAGGGAGGGGAGCTAGAGGCTCACCCTCTTCCACAATCCCCGGGAGACTGGCTAAGCCCAGACACAGCTCAACTCTGGAGGACTCAGGGCTCCAGCTCTAGGAACACACTTCCAGATCTTTGAGGAAATTTCATGGTCCATGCTGTCCAGTGGAGACCACAGGCTTCTCAACAGAGAATCTTGTGGGTTGTATGGGAAGGGCTGAAGGCCTGAGTGAGCCGAGGGTTCCTTGGCTGGTTTCTCCCTTCCCCTTTTGTGCAGTCAGACACCATTCTGGATGCTGCCTAGGAAAGTGCGGCAGCTGTCTATGCCGCTATCTGAACAGAGTGGCCATGCCTAGCTCCGTCAGCTCCTCTGGTCCGTCTCTCCCTAGCTGCTGTTCTCTGTAGTTCCATATGTCTTTGTGGGAGGGAGGCCTGTAGCTTAGTACACTTGGTGGGACCCTCCTCACTCTGATATTGTCAACCCACTGTGGCCCCTTTCTGGGGATCACCCTGAGAGGAGCAGACCTGCCTGCCCCAGCAGAGACCGGGGCTGCACACCAGGCCCAGCTTTGTTAGGAACCCAGTCTGCCTACAAAGTCTAGCATCCAGCCCTACAAGCAGTTTTCCCTGGTCTTTCCTTCAAGGCTCATTCACTCACTGCACTTGGGATAGTAGGCCTTCGTGCTCCCTGCTCCGTAAGAGTTGCCGTTGCCTGCCACCTACAGTCACACAGATCAGCTCTCAGGAGGCTGAGACAAGAGGATCTAAAGTTCTAGAGGGAGTTCAAGGTCAGCCTAAGACACTGAATGAGATCTTGTCTCAAAATCACAAAATAGAGTGCTTGCCTAGCATTAGTTCAACCGTGGGTTCAATCCCTAGTATCACAGAACAAACAGAGTGAGCATGCTTGGTGATTTTAGGTTAAATTTTACACATCAATTATGATCTAATCCCAGAACATTGTCCCTCAAACTCATAGCTATTAATTCTCCCAGTTCCCTTCCTCCATACTCTACCCCCAGAAACCCCTAATCTGTGGATTTGCTTGCTCTGGGCATTTTGTGTAAATGCAATAATACAATTTGTATTTTTAAAAGAGAAATTGAGGCCGGGCGGTGGTGGCGCACGCCTTTAATCCCAGCACTTGGGAGGCAGAGGCAGGCGGATCTTTGTGAGTTCGAGGCCAGCCTGGTCTACAGAGCGAGATCCAGGAAAGGCGCAAAGCTGCACAGAGAAACCCTGTCTCGAAAAACCTAAAAAAAAAAAAAAAAAAAAAAAAAGAGAAATTGAGTATTTTCTTGGAAGGTTATTCATGTTTGCTTATTAATTTTATTTTTATCATTTAAAAAAATTGTCTGAGACAGTCTGCCAGGTAGCCCAGGCTAGCCTCAAACTCACTGTGTAGGTAAGGTTGGCCTCCTGCCTCCAGCTCCTGAGCGTTAGTACACCACCACAGCTAGTGTATGTAGTACTTGGGACTAAGCCCAGGGCCTCTACCTATTGAGCGAGGTCACCAGCCCTAAGTGTTCATTTTCACAAGAGGTCTGGAAAGTCACCAAGGGGCTGGAGAGGTAGTTCAGTGGCAGTGTGCTTGCCTAATCCAGTGGGGCCTGGGTTAACCTGCAGCACAGATGGGGTTAACCTGCAGCACAGATGGGGTTAACCTGCAGCATAGATGGGGTTAACCTGCAGCATAGATGGGGTTGACCTGCAGCATAGATGGGGTTAACCTGCAGCACAGATGGGGTTAACCTGCAGCACAGATGGGGCTAACCTGCAGCACAGATAGGGGCAGAGGAGCGGGGAGAACAGAGGGCTAGGAATGACAATGGCCATGACGACCTAACCCATGAGAAGTCAGCTCAGACATTTTCTCTTCGCTCTCCTCCTCTTCTTCTGCCTCCCCCTCCTCTTTCTCTTCTCTCCCCCTCCAGCCCCCACTTCTTCCTCTTTTTTTGAGGCAGTATCCTGGCTGGCCTGGAACGCTCTCTATAGACCAGGCTGGCCGTAAACTCACAGAAGTCCACCTGTGTCTGCTTCCCAAGTGCTGGCATTACAGGCACATACTAGCATGCCTGCCAATTGAACATTTTCTTTCAAAAATGTCCTTCTGGTCACACTGCTGCTTAGTGGCCCCCAAAGCTAACAGAGAAGTATGACAACCATTGGGCATTCCTCGGCAGTGTTCAGAGGCCATGCTGGTTTCATGAACTTTCCTTTGGAGCTGAGTCCAAAGGGGGTGTGTGTGGGGTGTGGGGTGTGGGGGTGGTCTCTGCAGATGAACCCAGGGGGTGGATGGGTTGCAGTGGGATGTGTCTGCATTCTCCCTTCTTTGTCTCCCACAGGGGTAAAGAAGAGAACCAAAGTCATCAAGAACAGTGTGAACCCTGTGTGGAACGAGGTACACTAGTTTCTTCTCTCCCCCCCCCCACGTGCCCCTCCCCGCCTCTGCTGCCTCTGCAGGGGCTGACCCAAGAGGCAGCTTTCTCAGAAGGGTAGGCATCCAGCTCTATCCTGAGACCCCACCCACAGCATGTGCTGATGTGGAGGCCAGATGCTTGATTTTGTTTTCATTTTGTTTTGTTTTATTTATCTCTGCACAGGCCAGTCAGGCCTTCCCTGCCTGCCTGGGCTCCCTCTCATAGGCCAAAGCTACCTCCTCTCCATAGCACTTCCCAGATTAACCAAGTCCCCCTGTTGTTCCCATGGCTCTGTCCCCTCAGGAAGCTTTCTGTAGAGATGCCTTCCCCGTGGCCCTCTGAGGCACAGTGGAGGACAGTCGGGCTCAGACTGGATGTTTGCTCTGAGGAGCGCTGAAGGGCTTCTGATTGGCCTTCCTTAACTTATCGCTTACTCATCCCACCCACTTGGTGTGGAAGGACCCCGAAGGACCACCTGGCATTTTTACTGTTGTGCTTTTGTTCTAGTGTCCTGGGATGAATTGGGAGAGGAGGCTAGTGCAATGTGGCTTCCTCTTCTTTTTTGTTGTCTCTAATTCTTACCATTACCTCTGAAGCTATGGAATTCTGGTATACATACCTGCCTACCTACCTGCCTACCTACCTACCTACATACATCAACCCATCCATCCATGTATCCACCTATCTATCCATCAGCCCATCCACCCATCCATGCATCTACCCACCCACAAAACCATTATTCTATCTATCCATTTACCTACTCACCCATCCACCTATAGTCCATGCATCCAAACACCTTCCTACTCATCCAAGTATTCAGCTACCCATGCATCTACCCTCCATCCCACCCATCTATTCATTCACCCACCCTTACATCCACTCACCCATTAATTCACTTACCTACCCACCTATCCATCCACACACTTACCTGTCTATGCATCTTCCTAGTCGGGGTTACTATTGCTGTGATGAAACACCATGACCAAAAGCGACTTGGGGAGGAAAGGGTTTATTTGGCTTATACTTCCAGATCACTGTTCATCATTGAAGGAAGTCAAAAGAAGTATTTGATCAAGTTAGGAACCTAGAGGCAGGGGCTGATGCAGAGGTTAAGAAGGGGTGCTGCTTACTGGCTTGCTCCTCATGGTTTGCTTAGCCTGCTTTCTTATAGAACCCAGAACCACTTATTCAGGGATGGCATCACCCACAATGGACTGGGCCCTCTTACATCAATCAGTAATTAAGAGAATGCCCCCTACAGGCTTGCCTACATCCGGATCTTATGGAGGCATTTTCTCAATTGAGGCTCGTTCCTCTCCAATGACCCTAGCTCATGTCAAGTTGACATAAAACTAGCCAGCACAGCATCCATCATCCATTCCCCCCACCTAACATCCATCCATCCATCCATCCATCCATCCATCCATCTATCCATCCATCCATCCTTCCATCCATCATCCACTTATCCATCCATTCATCCACCAACCCACCCACCTATCTACATGCTCATCCCCTAGCACCATTCTGAATGTCTGCTCAGGACCCTGGGGCCACAGGTTCAGTTGCCTTTTCTTCTTCTTTTCCAGGGCTTTGAGTGGGACCTCAAAGGTATTCCTCTAGACCAGAGCTCAGAACTTCACGTGGTGGTCAAGGACCATGAGACGATGGGGAGAAACAGGTAAGTGGGCTCAAGGGTGACCTGGGAACAGGAAGGTACAGGTGGGTTTTTGATGAATATAGACCCTGGAATCAGAGCTCCCGAAGGCTAGTGTTTTCTGTCAGCATTTACTTACTGAAGACCGCCTTTCATGGGCCTAATCCAGCGGTGGATGCTGGGGCGAAACCTCGCTGTAGCCTCAGGAACTTGGCTGATGTTGTTGCTGAGAGCAGCACAGGCTGCCGGGGAGGGGAGGTGTGCCAGGATCAGGTGACCAGGAGTTTCTTGTACAAGAGTGCAGGCTGTGGGGAGCAGGTAGGAGCAGGTTCTGTCTCTCTCTGTAGCCTCTCGGTGGGAGGAGGGACTCTTTGCCTCTTCCTGGCTGGTGAGGGCAGCTACACCCCCCCACCAGGAGGTGGGTAGACAAGGAGAATCTGCCTCTAGCAGGGAGCAGTGGAGGAGGGCTGCATGGGAGAAGCAGAACCAGAGGTAAGAAGTCAGAACAGAAGTAACAGATAGCAGACTGCTCTCTCTCTCTCTCTCTCTCTCTCTCTCTCTCTCTCTCTCTCTCTCTCTCTCTCTGTCTTTTGGTTGGGTTGACAAATAGGGAACCCTCAGAAGCAAACTCTTATTGGCAAAAGCAGGCTCTGTTTAGGTAGGTGATGAGTGGCTTCCTTGGCAGGGGGAATCGTGAGCCTTGTAAATAGAGTGGTGGGTAAGACCTCCTAAGCTCGATGGGCCAGTTGGCTGTGGGTGTAAGTGGTCAGGAGACATAGCCTGGGAGGATCTATGGTGACAGGACTTAGGTAAGGACAGAGGTCAGTGGTCCCTGGTGGCTACAACAGGATGCAGCTGTGTCGGATGGGCTCAAGTGCCTGGTGCTGTTCACTGAAATCTGGCCCGAGGAGCATGGGCTGGCTGCTCCCAGACCTGCCCACAGGGGAGCCTTTGTTTGGGAACTAGGTCAGCAGTATCTGAGGCATGGAGCCTTGGTTATGTGAACCTGGAGTGGGGCAAGTGGGGAAGAAGGAGGGATCAGAACCCGGGAGGGCCTCGGGCTGTGGAACACCTGCAAAGTTTGACATCTTCAGAGCTTGGAGAAAGACTACACCATTACTGTTTCTTTGTGCTTCAAGCTGGCCCTGGGTGCATGGTCTGGCATCCCTGAGGAAGGAGAGGGCACTCTCATTGTGCCTCTGAAGTGGTGCTGCAGGGTGGGGAGCCCAGCCTGCTGCCGAGGGTACTGGGTGCATCTCTTGTCTTTTGCGGTCATACAGCTTTGGGCATAGAAGTATATAAAGTGGGTAAATTAAATATTTACTGGTAATAGCTCATAAAGAAATTTACTTTAACTGGACTTGGTGGTGTATGCCTTTAATCCTGGCACTTGGGAGGCAGAGGCAGGCAGATCTCTGTGAGTTGGAAGCCAGCCTGGTCTACATAGCAAGTTCCAGGCTAGCCAGGGCTACACAGTGAGATCAAAAAGGATTTTTTTTTTAATTTTATAATGTTTTACATATAATTTTACAGTTATTGAAGATGAAAGCAAATCTGCATCCTGACACGGATGTGCTTTAGTTTTACCTGAATAATTCACTCCTGGCTAAGCATCTGATACTGCAGGACAGAGAGCAGCATCTTGCAGAGTGCTTTGGTATTTTGATTTTAGAACCATCAGTGTTGAGAATGCCTTTTACTTAAGTACACAGCACTAAATGGCAGAAGGCTGTCTAAGGCCATTTTAGAAATTGTTGGAGATTCAGTCCTATCCTAAATCAAAATTAATTTAATATTTTAAAAATGAAATTCAAGTCAGCCACCCAAACGGCAGTTATTACAATAAAACATGTGAACACAATATAATCTAGAGAGATACTAAACTAGTACTTACTGTAACAGGGCCCCAGACTTTAGCACAACTGACTCCATGGTGGAAGTACCATTCAGGCTGTTAAACTCAGCATGTAGACAGTACCACCTGCCAAAATGAAAATAAACACCTAATCCATCAAAGTGCATAGTTCTGGAAAAGTCTCTAAGTGTACTAACCTTGCCTTTTGGCTTCTGTAGTTCTGATTCCGGCTAACTGTTCTTGTTAACTGAAGTATGTCAACCCAGAACATGGTTTTTGTGCTTAAAAGCTCTTCCTGAGAAAGGCTCGGTGCTACATTGGAATCCTGAACACCCAGTGTAGCTGCTGGCTGGCTGATGACTTTCTTTCTTTCTTTCTATTTTTTTTTTTTTTTTTTTTTTTTTGGTTTTTTCGAGACAGGGTTTCTCTGTGTAGCTTTGTGCCTTTCCTGGAACTCACTTGGTAGACCAGGCTGGCCTCGAACTCACAGAGATCCGCCTGGCTCTGCCTCCCGAGTGCTGGGATTAAAGGCGTGCGCCACCACCGCCCGGCCTGGCTGATGGCTTTCTATTGGCTCACACCCATGTCTGAGCAGTGCTTTCTGGTGAATACCCCACACTTCCATGCTGAAGAGTGATAGTGAGAAAGTAATAGGAAAAGCTAATGTTTCCTACAAGAGCAGAAAACTTGGCATGTACACTTAGAAACCCCGGGGTCTCTAGCATTCAGTCTTGAACCTAAGCCCAGATGTTTGAGGCAGTGTTTGTGGGCCTTGCTTGGCGTGATGGCATGCATAGTGTAGAGTGTGCATGCTGTGTGCTCAGAACCAAGGCTGCAGTGAAGCTGGTCTCCTGAAGGGACATGGGCGAGCATTGCTGTTATCTGTTTAATTCCAAATTATTTTTTTGATGAGTTTAGAAACCTTTTCCTGTCTCTTCTTTCTCTTTGTTTCTTTGTTCGTTCGTTCGTTCGTTCGTTCCTTCCTTCCTTCCTTCCTTCCTCCCTTCTTCCTTCCTTCCTTCCTTCCTTCCTTTCTTTCTCTTTTCTTTTTTTTTTTGGACAGAATCTCTCTACATAACCCTGCCTGTCCTGGAACTCACTATGTAGACCAGGCTAGTCCTGAGCTCACACAGATCTGCCTGCCTCTGCCTCCAGAATGCCAGAATTAAAGGTGTGCCCGCCATACCTGGCTGGGTTTAGAAAATTTCACCATTGCTAAGTGTTTTGCAATGCTCACGTTAAGTTCTGAGATGCTACCTAACCAAGGTTTAAGAAGCTGTGGCCCACAGCTCTTGAGTTGGCTCACTAGGTAAGGGCCCTCACACTCTAGCCTGATGACCTGGAGCCCTCACAGAGGTGGAAAAAGACTTCATGATGTTGTGCTTTGACCATAGCACATCTTACCTTCATATACACACAGTAATTAATAATAATAATAATAATAATAATAATAATAATAATAATAATAATAAATTAACTAAAGCTGTAGCCTTCACTACCTTCTCAGCTAGATGCTTTGTGGAAGGCAGGCACCTCCGTGAGCCTCATGTGGCACCAGTGAACTGGAAGGTGGACCAGCAGTCCAGGCAGGGAGCAATTCTGGACACTGGGCAGTCTGGGAAGGCTTTCTGGAGAAGAGCCCACAGTCACCCAGGGCTAGGATTTGGAGGGGAAAGTAGTTCCAGTGTGTGGGAGTGGAGGGCAGTGAGTTCATGTGGGAATTCAGAGTTGTGACAGGTGCAGCCTTGTTGGGAAGGGAGCACGGAGTCAGTCCCAGGCAATGGAGACCCCCCCCCCCCACCCCCCACCCCCAGCTGGCCCTGGACAGAGCTTAGCTAGATTCCTGACCCTGTGTAAGCCCGATGTGTGAGATGAGCTCTTTCTCTGTCGGATGCTGTTGTCGTCATCCTCGCAGACGGGAAACAGAGCCTCTAAAATTAGATTGGTGACATTCCCAAAGACTATGCAGGAGCTGTGTGTGGCCCGAGGGCAGGTGCTTGTGTTCATTCTCTTAGCTCTGGAATCTCTGTATTTCAGAGGCTCCCAAGGCTCCTGGCAGCTGGCCTCTGGGCACTCTGCAGAGTTTAGTTCCTCTGATGACGTAGGAGTTGAGAGTTTAGTGAGGCAAAGGTGGACAGCCTGGGTACTGCAGGCCATGAGGAAACACAGGTTTCATTTCATTATCATATTCAGTACTTTCCTAGGAGCCATGGGAGGAGTCTGAGAGCCCAGAGGCAGCAGGAGAGGAGAGACTGTGGATACAGTGTTGGTCAGTTCACGGGCCAGACTGGACATCCAGGGGACAGCTCAGGGCTACACAGAGGCTCTCTGGCTCTGTGGGTCATATGTTTTGCAGAGGGAGGGTGAGTACACCCTCCCACTGGTCCCTGTTGGTGCCCTCTGGCTCACCAATTTCCACGTGAGCAGGTTACTGCAGGCCAGCATGCTGGGAAGCAGTTCCTCAAACCTCCATGTCCAGAATAGCCAGTTCACTAGGTGTCAGCACTTCCAGGACTTTCTGTCTTACAAACACGTGACTGTGGTTGTTTTTCCAAGCATTTATCTAGCAATTAAAAATGAAATTGTAATAGACTAAGTTTAAATTTAAGCCCATGTTCGTAAACACCTGCAGAAGGACAGAACTACCTAAACACCCTGTTCTGTGAGGGAACGATCAGAGCAAATGGTCTGTGGTCTCCATAGCAGCTAGCTTGACTGTGCCTGAGGTAACCCTATCCAAAGCAGCAGGAGGGGGCAGCATTCCTGCATAGTAACTCTGTGATGCCTTCATGATCAGACTGAAAACTATGCTCAAAAACTTGTATAGGCTGTGGAGACGGCTCAGCTGGCATCTGACACACAGCATGAGGACTGGAATTTAGCTCCCCAGCACCCACATAAAATCTGAGTATGAGAGCATGCAATTGTAATGCCAGTTCCCCCGGGGCACAAGAACAGGAGGCTGGCTCTCTGCTACTCACTGGCCAGCCAATCTAGCTGAAACAGGGGGCTCCAGGTTCAGTGAGAGACCCCGTCTCAAAAAAATAAGGTGGAGAGTGAGTGAAGAAAGCACCCCAAATCAACCTCCGGCCTTTATGGATACATTCCAACCAGTGCACCCCCCCACATATGCACACACATGCATAAAACACACACACACACACACACA